CATGTCAGCGATGTAGAGTGTATGGCGATACATATTCGGACAACATTGTGATGATTGACGTAGCGACAACCATAGCCGGGACAGAGTATAACGATGAATGACAAAACAAAGAAGATCGATGGAGCAGAGATTATTTAATCTACTATCGTCGTTATGACAATGATTGAAAATATAGTGATTGAGATCACATGTATAATTCCGTGACAATTATCGAGATCGATCGATCGCTCGACCTGTGCAGCAATACTCTAACAATTCTTGTCAATCGTCACAATGTTCCTATCAAGAGCACACACTTGACAACAATCACCGTAATACGATCTCTCACTCTGCTTCTCCCAGTCTAAAGTCAGATAATTGCAACAACTGTGAGAGCATGCCCATTGGTACTATGAGTGTCGTGAATATCATCTCAAGAAGTAGCTCGAGGCGCTTCAGATTTTTTACAACACGTTAAAGCATTCTAAGCACTTGGAGGCCAGCAACATTGAGTTTTACCTCGATGGTCAAAATGATCATTGTAAAGTTGGCTTTGAAGAGTCTAACAACTTCTCTTTTGACTCTAAACCGATTTCTCTTAGCAATCATAATAATGCTGTTAATTTATTTGCATTTTTCAGTCAGCTAGAAGAAAAACAATCTTGGTTTTTTGACAGTGGAGATTTGTTGTATTTAACTGTCATAGTTTTTTGCTTTTTAATTTTGAGAAACAAACTAAACATCTTTCAATTATGACTACAAGTAATCATGTTCTTTTTGTCTATGAGAAAGGCTCTCTAAACTTAAGCAATAATAAAGTTTGTGATGTTTTTCATATTCCCCATGTTAAGCAAAATCTACTTTCCGTAGGTCGCATCACCGATTTGGTTCATATAGAGTTATTTAACTCTAAAAACTGCTATGTATTCGATAAAAAAAACTCACGTAGGTTTCTTCTTTAGGGTGAACGAGATCCACACAACAATCTCTACAGGCTTTCCAAGCCAAACTATTTGACTATGGCTCTTCTCACAATATCATCTTCTACTCGTCTAATCAGGTTTACTTATGTTAGGAATATTGAAAGCCCTCAACCGGATTTGCAGACGTGTTGTGCAAGCAGAGCTTTAGCACCGACGCATGGGACATGCAAATTTTCAAAAAATTCATGCAAATGCCAAGAAGTTGTCTGTATGCATCGTCATATTTGTCACATCAAGTCTCTTTGTACAACTTGTCTCATGACCAAATAAAGTAGGAACCGAGTGCCCAAACACTCTCACACACAGACTACGCGATCATTGCAGACGCTGCATTTTGACATCTCTAGACCTCTTTCTTGTGATTCACTAACCAAGGAACGCTATATATTGATGTTCAGTGATGATTTTACCAAGTACACATGGATCTACTTTTTGAGAATAAAGAACAAGGCTCAAGATCTTGGTGGAGAATAATTACAAGACAACTATTGTTGCTCTACAAACTAATCGGAGAAAATATCTGTCAAATGCATATCATGTCTTGTGTGTGCAATTCGATGTTAAACACGATCTCACATGTGCTTATTACCCACATCAAAATGGCAAATCTGAGTGTAAAATAGAAGGGTCCTTGAAATGACCCATTATTTGTTATTATATGCTCATTTGCCTAAGCCTCTAAGCAGCATATATATTGAATTGGCTTTCTACTAAAGCCGTCAAGATGTGCACTCCATTTCAAAGGTTAATTGGTCTTATTTCCAATCCTAAACATCAAAGAGTTTTTGAATGTGCAGCCTTGGTCTTATTAACAACTCTCCATGACAAGCTTTCTACTAAAGCCTCTCGGTTATCTTCACTCAATCTTAAGCCTATCGCGTCTATTATCTTATCAATGAGAAGTTTTTACTAGCCGAAATTTTCTGTTTGATGATTTCACATTTGGACTCGCGGCTTGTCATGACCCAATTTTTTTCGCCGATTGGGATATTTTGTTGCATCCCAAAACGTCAGCTGTCCAATCCATTCCTACGTCTACACCACCCGGGTCCGACAATTCGCAATATTTTGGACCTGCCTCTGCAAGCCAGCCCATTTACCTCCATCAAAATTTCCTCCATCTTTTCCTCCATCCATTCTGACACCTTCGCATATGTAGTAAAATGGTTGATTGTTAGGACCATTTCAGCCATAGTTGACTCTTTTGGCTGCATCATCTCACTTTCAGGTTCAACACCATCGATCGCAAATTTTTTGTGACACACTGCTTCCATCCACCGGTAGCAGCCCTCCACAAGTAATTGCTATAACATGTGAAGAAATCTTCATAGCATTAGACCATAGTGACTACTCAAGACCATCTGAAATTGCTTTGACCTTGATTCTAAGATTTGACATTCTTTGAAGGTATTTCTATGAGTTAGATTTTGATCTAAACGATTGCCTTTGGCACTCTAGAGTAAGGGAGTGTATTAGACTTATGTACTCTTAGAGTGCATACAGTATATCTCTGTTAGTTTAGTATGTACTCTTATGTTAGCTATCACTTTATCCTGAAGGTGAGGATAATCATAAGTGTAGCAGTTGTGGTGATCAGGGATAAAGCAACACTAGAAGACATGATATCCTGTACAATATGTATTCTTTCACTTCACTAATATTTCAATGGGCCTGATTACACTGGAAATACACTGATTAAGATCAGGGTATTTCCAACATTGTCTTACACTTTTATCAAGATGGCCTACAATTGGTATTTGCATGATGATCCGCGTAGAGAGAGAATCTACCTCGACGTAGAAGAAGTCGGGAGCCCTCCCTGCTTTAAGGTGCATGCATGATGTAAACAAAACCAGGAGATTTGTGAGGGAATCGTCCGTGGATGATTACCAACGTGCAAACGAAATCGAGACCAAGTTCTGCATGCAAAACAAACAGGACATGCAGAAGCAACGGGAGCATGCAGCAGAGCAGAAAGATGGAACTGAAGAGTGACAACACAGTGGCAGTGAGAAGGGAGCAAGAATCCTTTAGACGATAGCAGGGAAGTGAAAGTTCAAGAAAAAGGGTGAAACATAGGCGATCCCGTTCGTCATTCCGTCTGCAAGGGCATAAGTTAAAGGACAAAGACACGGAAACTGAACCCAACTACTCGCAAAACGTACATTGAGCTTTTGCTCAGGACGTGCTACGACCGGACACCCAGTAAAGGGGGACCCTACAGGATGCTTTCCAGGTTTGACTACTGGCGAGAAGTTCGAGTAGGGCGACTCAGCCTCTGACAAAGCCTAACTGCAGTACAGTACTGGTTCAAATTATAGTAGTAAAGAAGTAGCGAGATATCGTTGCAGATAATGTGAAGGACATTGACTTTGTCCAGATCCTTGTCGCTCTACCTAGATAAAGTCATTCAAACTTTGACCGAGTTATTCGTGAAAGCCATTGTACTGAGATAGAAGAAATTTGTGAAGTGATCTCACATGCCTAGATCTGCTACCAAGACTTATGGATACGCACGCAGGTTTCCGAAACTGTTTAGTCTGTAACTGGACGGTTTTCCATGTTCAGTCACGTGGAAGTGAAAGACGAAGGTTTTGTTGTCTTCATCAAGAGCACTTCCTAACAAATGCTTCACTTATGCCCAATATAGATATAATCACTTTAAGCCCATCTAAAGAATCTACTTTTTCTTTCACCCACCGACAACGTACCGGGAAACACCCTCCAATTCAATATTTTGACTATATTTCCAGGAGTAGTCAGCCATGAAAACCCTCGCAACTTCGTGACTCTCGGAAAAAGCACATCCTTACTACGGAGATACTTTGGGATTCTACTGAAGTCTTGATGTATCTAAAATTCATGTTATGAAATTTTAAGTAGGGGAATTCACTGATAAGTTTACCTTCAAGGGAACTATATACGAACGTAAAACTGTGGTCACGTTCTCAGTCTTCCGACAAAAACTCCTATTGAGCAAAAGCGTGTTACACGTTGTCACATGTCTCGTGACCATCACTCAATGACTCTTGTAAGACTTGAAAAGATGCATGCATCGCATAGCATGAATTGTATTTTATATTTATCTAGACAAATTCATGAATTAGAAAGTAGTTTGCCTAGATTCTGTATTACAAACTTCAGGCTCCTTGTAGAACTATTCTCAATAAGATCACACTGCCCTTCTGGCAGTGTGATCGGGTAGTTGTAAACACTTGCTTCAAACTACTGTGCTTATCATGAGCTGCTAGTTAAAGCCAGATGGAACAGATCAACATGATAGAAGTCAGAATACAGCTCACATCTGGTTTGAAGTAATCACAATAATTTACCAGGTCGCTATGCTACCAATTCGCAGCTCTATCAACACCTAAGTAAACATAATTACTTCTGCATGGTCATGTGGAGATGTGAAACGCGGTAAGATCGTTAAGAAGAATTCTTCGTGAATGTCCAAAATAACCAGTAGAAAATCCATACTCAGTTTACTGGCACCGATGTGTGACTGCGTTCAAGTATACTCGGCAGTCTGACTTTGATTCAACCTTATAACCAAGGCTATCGGGGCCAAACATGCAGGTAATCGTTCAGTCTTCCTCACAGTTGGGAAAATTTCATCTCACGGTCTATACAGACGTAGTGAGTGTTGATATGCACATATTGGACCCCATAACAGTTCATAATTCCTCAAGTCCATATTCATGGGAATAGTATATTCATTCCTACGGGTCCATTCATTGCCTTGGAAAAAAACCTCACAAGCAGGAACAATCCTCCATCACTAAAGAGGATAATTCATATAGTCGAGATTCTTTGCTTGGTACCCGGTTTCAATCCCGTATATGACAAGCCTCTGGTCGGTCGATAGACTACCATTAGTCTTACAAGTAGATGATCCAACTTGGGACGATTCCGAAACAAAAACAAATTTCTACTTATAATGATTCAGTATACCACTCTAGTATCAATTCCGCACCAAGTAGAAGTTGGCCCCAAAAAATAAACAGATCCCCATAACAGCAGATATGAGTTATTCTGGGCACAAATAGTGCACATGATTCAGATGAAGTAATCATCACTCGAAAACAAATGCTTTACAAACTCACAATCTTACTGTAAGAGCCGAGTAGTGCAACCACGATGTTGCCAAGGTTCAACTACAGTGCAAGCATTTTATAATCGGGGCTCCAGATTCACAAAACCTCACACCCACTAACAGTTATTTCTCATTCTACGAGGAGACACGAAAAGCTGTGGCAATCGAACTGATGGCAATGCAGTCCACTAAAATTGCATAAATTGGGATGTTTCACCAACGGATTGTGCGAGTTTCTGCAGATAAACATATGATATATTGGGGGACAGTTCAACTATGCTTCAAACTGTGATATTTACAAAAACCAAAAACCTGGTCATTCTCAGACTGATTCGTTCAGTTTGGCCAAGAAAGTAGACAACCTTTTGCCAGCCTTCAGAATTTTGAGTATGGCATAATGGGATCACCTAAAAAGAATGGGATTTTGCAGGCACGTAACCTTATTGAAATCGAACAACAATGCATGATATATCATCCTTGCTTTTCCGCACAAGGGCTTCATCCGTCAGCATCTTCGCTGCAATCTGGGGATCTCGAACTCTCCGAACATGGTCAGTCGCTTCTTGGTTCTTCATTACCTGGGCACAGTAGAACATTTGAATTTTAGAAACTTCCCTGACGATTTTCTAAACTTCCGCCACAAAACACAAGAGAATGGCACAAAACTGATAGACAGGCTTAGAGATCAAACCTTCCATAGACCATCACTGGCAAGAATGAGAAACTCTGTGTATTGATCAATTTTGATCTCGGCTATATCAGGTTGTGCGCTGAGATGAACTTTTAAACTTTTGTCACCAAATGCACGTGCTACCGCAAGTTGGCCATCGACCCGTGGCACGTCGCCTATCAAAATAGCCACATAATGTCAAATCATATGCAGTCTACGGAGTTCGCCGACAACCCCAATTTCTGCCAATTTTTCCACAAACACAATATCCCTCAATTTAGGCATGAAAAGAACCAAGAGGATGACAAATCTTCTCGCTACATTCCAAATTAGATCAACTTGTAGATGATAGTACGAAATTGCGAGCCTCAACCTTGCTAAAGAGCCATCTGACATGTGGAGAAATCACTCTTATGTAGATGTCGAAAACTGCGTAGATCTTATCGAGACAACACAATCTTTCTTCAATGTAACGAATCCAAAGCAACCATATCCTCAATAAATCGGAGCTTGTCCCGATTGAAGAAGTGGTCGGCTAAAACACGGACATCGTACACATCAAGACGTTTCTATCGACGACGTGTTAGAACTGGGGCCTGCTGCCACAACTTCTATGTAGCCAGTTCAGGACTTCCCGTGTAGAGGGAATGGGCACATACCGGGCATGTTCGATACAAAGCCACCTTTGCCTTCAATGCTTCCCCTCTCCGCGCTCGGCTCGTGATCCACAGAGAGTTGGATGGCAGTTCCCTGTCGACAGAGGACGGCCCTTGAGTCTCCGACATTCGCTACGAGCAAGCGTCTCCCATCGACTAAGATTGCTGTGACAGCTGTTGATCCACCAACTCCCAAGGTGGGAGCTTTATCCAATATAGTAGTATCTGTATTCAGATAGGCTTTCTTCATGGCCTCCGCAGGATTTTGCCAAAATCCGCTCTGCAGACGGGATCATCAAGTGCAGAATATCAGAACGATTCCGATTGATAACACAGGCTATCGACGTTAGTATGCACATATAACTAGCATGACTTTGACTATCCTCTTGCGGCAAGAGACGTCCCCTGGACTCAACATCAGAGGTGAACGCCCGTTTTCCAGATAGAAAGGACTCCTTGTGCGCAGATCATCCAATCCGGTGAGGACTTGAAGTATGGCGTTGACCACTCACGGCCCCAGCTGACTACCTAATTGAAAGAAACGACGGCAGTGGACCTCCACAAGAGAACCTGAGAAACCCAGTACACTTCATCACTGCCTCCTCTTGACAGGTTAAGATCTCTAGTGAAGTTTCCACATTACAGATGGCCATGTTCCCTTGCCCAGTTACGCTCTGCTCTGGCCCGTATCCTAGTTCGGCTCCCATCCTTCCATGGTATCGCACAGAAAACTGAAAGACGATACGATCTGTGCTTGGAACCTTTGGAGATAGTCCACTTCTATACCTCATTAAGAATGTTGTCGAAAAGATACCGCTGCAAGTAGGCTGGTACACTATCACCCAAGTGACCATCGTAAATGGCAAACAGCCCCAGCTCATGTTCCTTGACGCGCTTGAACTCAGCTACATGTTTATCTTCCATAGGATGTCTAGATTTTCCTTTGACTAGTGAGAATCCGTGTACAATTTGGTTGTGAGTGCCTTGACCCTGCCCTTTCCCGGTGTCTGCCGTGTGTACGGGATTCATTTTCGCCGCGGGCTGCATGCCTGATGCCATCTGCAAATCGAACACGAGTCATTCAGTTATGCAAGAAACCAAGTCCAGAGAGGGCAAACCTCAAAGTCAAGCTCAAGCGGGCACGCACAGAGGACATTGCAAGGATGATCACAGTTCCAGCTCAAGCGATCGAAAACTACCGGCAATTTTTCGCGTTTTTCAGAAGATCTCCCTCCATTCTCCCCCTAGAGATGCAAAGATAAGCGCCATTTCAATATTCGAGTTTTCGTCGTGAAAATCAGTATGCCTCAGATGCCAGCAGCCAATCATGCGCAAACGAACACTTCATCCAGTAATTCATGTGCAGTTCAGTTGGTGTTTCCTATGGTGTAAACAAGCTACATGCCTTGCGGAGACAGTTGAGGCGGAGAAAGCACATCTCAGCTCGCTTCTGACGGACTGAACACAGCCTTCGATACCATTTCACCGTGAAGCAGCTCCCCCAGGTTCTCTCACACTCTTCGTCCTCCTAGAATGCTTCCCTTCTTTCTGTCCCGGCTCAATCTCCTCCTCCTCTCCTTCCTTCTCTACCTCTCTCCCTCCCTCCCTTGCTCTCGCTCTCTACTCTCTCCCTCTCTCTCTCTCTCTCTCTCTCTCTCTTTCTCTCTCTCTCTGAGTGGCGCTGCGATGGAGAACAAAGGGAGGGACGAAGGACAAAGGGGGAGATGAAGAAGAAGTGAGACACAAACGAGGCTGCTGGCTTTGCTCACTTGCTTGCAGAATGAGGTCTTTGTTTGACAGCACCAGTCAAAAGCAACAACACGCAGCTAAAAGAAAAGATGACCGAGTGGTAGTGGCAGCAGCAGCAGCCTCCTCTCGGGGAACCTCGAAGATATTACAAGCTGGCAGCGCTGCTGCAATTAGGAGATATGGCGGTGCAAGAGGACCTAAACCAAAGACTAACATGACAGGGTCAAGACTATCTATGTCACCAAGCGTCCCCTCTTCTTTTGCCCAGCACGCATAATGTCAAACCGTAGCTACACCACCACTCCTGCCCTCACTCGTCGAGCTTGCACTGCCGGCGCGTGCACTGGAAGTAGGCACAGGAGAGGACCAGGCGCCAGGCCCTGCCCCAGCCCAAGGCCAGGCAAGTGATCGGACAGACAGGGAAAGCTGAGGATTGGGCGACCGCTTGTCTTACTGTGCACTGTACCGACGAGCACAAGCAAACAGCACAGCAGCAGCAGTAGTTGCTCTTGCTTTATTACCACTACTACTACCACCCCCTGCTCCAACTAACTAGTACCACTTCTACTACTACGACTCCTTCCACTTCCTTGGGCTTTCCTTCCCCTCACACCATCCTCTACTCCTCTACCAGACTGCCACACCACTCGACACGATCGATCTCGTTCGTTGCTACTCGATCCACGCACGCATTCTCAAGACCGACCGCGCACAGTTCACAGTCGGCAGCAGGCAGGCAGGCACGAAGACGAAGACTCTGCTGCTGCTGCTCCAGCTGCAGCAGCATCATCATTATTAACTGCAAGAGCTTCACTCGATCCACTTACTGTACTCTTGCTCAGGTCTCCCGCACCTCGCTCTCCTCTGCTCTCCTCTCCTCTCGGCGACTCTTCCAACTGCTATCTGTTTCTGTCCCCCCTGTCGCTGGTCCCTGTCTGTGTTCCAGGCACTGCTGTTCTGCCTCCCCTCCCCTGGCTTAGCTCTCTAGCCCGGCCCGGCCTGACCTGAAGACGCGGTAACTAAAGCTGATCCATGGCAGCAACTGAAGCAAGGTGGGGTTGGGCGAGGCGAGCCACGCCAAGCCAAAGCCAAAGCCAAAGCCAAAGCACCACTCCTCCTCCACTGCTCTGCTCTGCTCTGCTCTGATGAACTGCACTGCACTGCACTGCACCCCACTCCACTCCACTCCGTCCGTCTTACAGCTCTACGTCGTCGGCTTGCCCTCTCGCTCGCTCGCTCGCTCGCCTCATCTGTCGGTCGGTCGGCAGGTTTACGTCATCTTCGGGCACCCACGTTGGTGCGTGCTTGGTCAACACGCTGCTCTCGTCTCTTCGTCATCATCAAGCCCCGCTCCCTCCATTCCTCCATCATCCGCTTTCCTCCGCCTTCCCGCTTTGCCTATCTTCTTCCTCCTCTCGATCGAAAACGCTCGTCGTCCATCTCTGCACTGCTCGCCTTCGACTACTGCTGCTCACCCGGCCCCCAATCCACAGCTCATCCCAATCTCGTCACTCCCTCATTGCCATCGCCCGATCCACCTCGACGAAATCAACAGCTCACGCCCTCCCCTTCCCCATCGCCTCTTCTCCTAATTAACTATCCTCCCGAAACCCTCGGTGCGCTTGCTAATTATAATCCCCCATCCCCCCAACAATCAGCACCCGGTGCCCGGCCAGCCGGAACCCGATATTGCCACCCGCGATGTTGCCTCCCACCCCGCGCCACGACTCCGGCTGCTGCTGCCGCGAAGGCTTCAACACGAAGCCGAGAAACGTTAAGCAGCCATGACCTCGCTGCATCTTCTGCTTCGTCGACGTCGTCCTGATCCAGGGGCTCGAACGCAGCGAGAAGAGACGAGCGGGGACTCCCCCCGGGCCTGGGCTAGAGGAGCGGCACCGAGGCAAGAACAGTCCGAGGCTGCGAAGGTCTCCCCCCTCCTCCCCCTTTTTTTGGCGGACTATCTGGCGGCGCGATCTCTCGGGCCTCGGGGGTCTTAAAGTCTCCCCGTGGTCTTGATAACCCCCGCCCGTACAGCCCAGGCAGGCCCTACAGGAGGAGGGGGGCCGGGGGAGGGGGCAAGGGAATGGTCTTCGGAATAATTCCTTTGACCCGGAGATAGACCTCTTTAAAAGCAAGTTCGAACCTGGACTTTTAGCGAACTTCCTGGCGGCGCTGCTGCGAGGGAAGTCCTACTGCCCGCTGCCCCTTCTCCTCACCGCCCGATCCTCCGCGCAAATTGCCGCATTCGCTTTGGACGGCTCCGATCTCCTCGGAGCCTCCTGCTCCGGGACATCCACGCAGCGGTACTGGCCTCCCGCAGGAGGAGCAGTCCCGCAGCAGGACTGCAGGTCGCGATCCATAAATTACCCCTTTTTCTTCCCCGCAGGTGATCTGTGCTGCTCTACAAGCTTGCACCCTCCCGTATAAGAGCAGATGCTCTTCAAGCTCTTCAGCCGTCCTCACCGCTGGTTTGTCTCGCTGGTTGAGTACCTGTTCGTGCTGTAAGCTTAATTGACTTTTAAGTCCCGCTGCTTTGACGTGTCGTACACACTCTTGGCTTTATCTGTATGCTTTCCGAGCAAGCATATTCAGACCTCGGGCTTATATATTCAGACCTGAGACTTGCCCAAACTTGGTGCAGGAGATGGGAAAGGAAAAATAATATATTATTTGCTTGGAGAAGAGAAAAAGCGCGTCGCACGGGATACTATTATTCAGGAGGTCCACGGTAAACACCATGAATCAGACGAAGAGGTATGTAGCAACGTACCCGTTACAACTTAAGCATTAGAGTAATCAAGGAACAATATTTCCTCCTCTATTAATATATAGTTTGAAGATGATTTTTAATAAATTGAGTTTTTAAAAAAGAAAATCTTATTAAGATAAAATTCGCATGGTTATATAATTATGCGCTTCACGTTCTTGTAAAGCCCCAATTTCTTTATGCCTCATCAATTCAAATTAGAATCTATCTCAATATTTGACAAATTTATTGGATCTCAAACTTTGAGAGTTATCTATACTTTGCAATTCGTCTCAGAGTAAAAGTCTTTTAAAAAACCTTGTAACTCAGATGGAATCAACATCATCTGAGTTGATTTCATCGGATGTTTGAATCGTAAAGTCTTCAAATATTTGAAATTTAAATTCAAATTGTTGCTCATGCTTCAAAAGAGCAATTGATCACACAAGCCGATTGCAAAATAATTGTGATGCAAATAAAAAAATTCTTCTTGAAAATAGTAAATGCAATTACGTAACTCAAGCATGTAAAACATTTTATGAAAATAATGTGACAATTAATTGTAAATATAAGTAAAAAAATTTATATTCAAATAATAAGATCATTCAAATTGAATTTATATTTGCAATAAAAAATAAAATTGAATGATCAGCAAGTTGTTAATATCATCACAAAAATTTGACGCATCAATTAATATAAAATTTGATTTTTTAATTTAAAATTTTGATTATTATTATTTTAAAAACAACCTAAAATAATTTCAAGTTTTCAAAAATATCCTAATGATATATTTATTTAAATTCAATTAAAATCTCAAATTTATTATTCAAAAAATATTTTTAAATTATGATTCATAATTATTAAAAATAATTAATTTTTTCATAATTTATATCTATTTAAGAATAAAAAATTAAAATAAAAATCTACATAAAAATATTTAAATATATATTTTTTATAATAAAATTTATTTATTATTTTTTTAAAATATTCTTTTAATTTCAATTTTGTCTTTTGAAAAATATCACAATTAAAAAAATAAAAATCCAAAAGTGAAAGTTATATTCATATGCACAACATTTTGTTTGAACATTGTGTGATGTAAGCTTCAATTTCAAAATTAACTATGCTAAAAAAATCATTGTTATTGGTAAGGATAATTACTAATGATACACTGACATGAAAAAAATGATAAAATTGGATAAAATTGATGTGGATTACAAATAGACTTTTCATATAGGTTCATATCGCAACAATTTTATTATTGATAAACTATGTGCATATAGTTCACAACTAATATTGTCTAGCTTGACAAGTGACGGCTAAATTAGCTTAAGAAACAAATTTCTTAGAATTCAGATGGAAATTTCACATCTATATACACATATAGATGGATTTATTCAACCATGTATTACTTCATTATAGGTTCTTTTATTTTGCATGTTGATTTAATTTTCTCAGACTTTGCATTTAGATATTGTGGAATTTCACACACTGCTGGAACTTGTTTCTTGTGTAGGTGATAGAGCCGTAGTCCCAGATAGATGTGAATTGAGCACAAAACTGTTCTTCTTCTTTGTTCAAAGATTTCATCATCATCATCAGGAAGTCGTTCGTTTCTTTTCTGTCCTTTATACATAGATACAGTGTAACACAACAAAATACCTTGGTTATACATTTCAGTAAAATAGGGACTTTCAACTTACTAGATACGTTTTTTCATGGACAGAATATCCGTTGCAGTAAGTAGAACAATCACTTATGTGTAAAATAAAAAAGATACGTGGGAACACAAAACTTACAATTTGTTTAGTACATAAATCCCTGATTAGCATAAAACATAATAATGTTTTTGGTGTTCAAAAATCCTTCTGATATTCTTCATGAAACCACAATACAAGCTTTATATCATGGGGTGAATCACCCTTAAATATCAATGAAACATAAATGTAAAACGACGATTTTTTAAAACAGGAGTCATTATCTCCTGATAATGTACTGCAAGTATCGGCGGAAGAGGCGGTTTTGGAAATTTATGACATGCGAAACAAAAAAACACCAGACCAGATCGTTGCGTTCTAGATGGAGCTGACCTGCACAGTCCGACAAGACAGAATCGAAGCCTTAAGGGGGCTCTTAAACTCGAGTCGAGGCGGGTAGCGACTCGTGACGCCGAGAGGCTAAATGAGAGCCAGTCGCGTAAATGAAACTCGCAAATGAAAGGCCGCGACCGGAAATCCGTGTCTCGGAGATCCGGACAGACGGGGCGAACGAACGACGGACAGACAAGGACGGAAATAGATGGGAAAGAAGCGAGCGAGGGGAAATGCAGCGGTTGTTGTAGATGGTCGATGTCGTTAATTAGGTCCGGGCGGGGCGGAGGTGGGGGGCTTCGGTCCCGCCGGGCAGAGGGTGGCAGGGTGAA